TAGGATTAGGGCATGTATCACCACACCTGGCAGTATAATGTTTAAATAGTAAATTAACAGCTGGGCGTGGTGACACACCTGTTATCCCAGTGGCTCAGAGGCTGAGGTAGGAGGATTTCAAGTTTAAGACCAGCCTCAGCAGTTTAGCAAGGCCCTAAGCAATTTAGTTGAGACCCTGTCTATAAATAAAATATAAAACAGGGCTGGGAATGTGGCTTAGTGGTTACGTGCTCTTAGGTTCAATGCCCAGTACCCATCATCATCATCATCATCATCATCATCTTCATCATCATCATCTTAGAAAAACAGCTCAGAAGACAACATGTACTTAAAATGTGTAGAACAACTCAGAAAAGTATAGTGAATGGATGGAATCTGTGATTTAAAATGCTATAAATATCCATTTAGTTGCCTTCAATAAGATGATGATAATGGGGATGACAATGATGACCATTTTTGTGGTACTGGGGATTAAATCCAGGGATGCTGTACCACTGAGCTGCATCCCTAGTCCTTCTTTTCATTTTGAGGGTGTTGCTAAGTTAGTTGCTCAGGTTGGCCTCAAGCTTACTATCCTGCCTTAGCCTCCTTAGTAACTGAGATTATAGGGATGCATGGGGCAATAAATTTGGTTTTTAAAAGTCCAAATGCTGGCTGGGCACAGTGGTGCCCATCTGTAATCCCAGCTACTCAGGAGTCTGAGACAGGGGGATTTCAAGTTTGAGCCTTCCTGGGCAATTTAGCAACACCCTGTCTCAAAATATAAAAAGGGGGGAAATGAAGAATAGGAGTTCAGTGACTTAGACAAAGAAGAATGAAGGGAAGAGAGGGGGATGAGAATGGGAAAGACAGTGGAATTAATCTAATATGACTTTCCTATGTACATCTATGAATATAACACAGTGAATCTCACCATGTGTACATCCACAAGACTGAGATCCTAATTGGAATGATATTCCAAGCTTGTATAAATATGTCAAAATGGTTTCTACTGTCGTGTATAACATGAAAATGAAAAATAAAAATAAATAAATAAAAGGATTGTCGATGGAGCTTAGTGATAGAGCACCTCTGGGTTCAACTCCCAATACTGAAAAAAAAATCATATGAAAATAGGAAAATTACCAACTGGATAGGTCTCTTTGCCTCTTGCAAAGCACCAATAGCTGTGCTCTAGAAGTGGTCACTCAAGATCCTGGATATCCCTAGGAGTCAAGATGTGGGATACAGGACTTAAGGGGGTCTGCATTCTTGGACTGAGTTCTTAGGTCTGTGTCCTTGTCAGCTCTGTGGCATCAGAATAGGGAAAGTCCTGGCCAGGACCCTCAGAACCCTAGCAGAGGACACTAGTTTGGAGTTTAAGTCCTTGTCTAGGCCCAGTTAGGCTACTTCTAGTCTTTGAAGTCCATCAGTTTTAGCTTTGAATTCTGTCTTCAACATAAGCTTGCTGTTGAACATGGACAAGTCATTTACCTCTCTGACCTCCTCTATGAAATGGGGATGGTTCCTACCTTGTTTGTAGGGTTATGATGAGAGTTCCATGAAAGGAGACATGGTAGTGTGCCCTTGGCATTAAGTACCTGTCCCTTAGTTAGTGCTCCACGATTAGCAGTTGGTATTATGATAATAGTTTATTCTGCTCCTGTCTTCTCACCTGAAGCATGGGACAGTAATCCCTGTCATCCTGGCATGAAGGACATGGTGGACATGGTGTCATTTTTGTGAGCTGTGGGGTCAGTGCAAATGGTACTTCTGCTTCTCAAAGGCGAGCCCAGCCCTGCAGAGGTAGGGAGATTTACCCAGTTCCCAGGACTAGGGGAAGCTAGATGACAGCTTCAATCCATCAATGATAGCCTAAATGCAGCCTAACTTTATGGACCTAGCAGGTACTTAAGTTTGGGCAGAGTGAAAGCTGGCCATTCTTCCTCAACATAGGCTGCTGCTCAGAGCAGGTAGGCAGGTATGTGTTGGGGTGAAGTGCCCTGGGCCTTGGGAGACCAGATAATGAAAATTCATGGCAAAAGTGGTGGTTCTGGGTTGGAGTTGGAGATTTTGTCTTCAGAAGCCCAAAATCCGGTTACCAAGCTTTGCAGGTAAAAGAAGAGCTTGGAAAAGGGCTGGGGATGTAACTCAGAGGTTGAGCACTTGCCCAGCACATTCCAAGCCCTGGGTTCAATTTCCAGAACCTAAAAAAAAAGGAGCTTAGGAAAGCCTCATGCACAAGGGGGTGCAGAGATCAGCCCTGCTTTGCTCTATCCCATTCTGGCTTCCCCTACGTAGTATAGGTTCTGCAGAGCATGGGTTGGTTGTGCTTTGTGCTTTGTCTGCTCTGTGGCTTTCTGGCTAGAGGCCTAGGTGTGTATGACCAGAGGTGAGGGGAGTTTCCTCCAGTACTAAGCTTATTGATGGAAATGCAAGTTAAGGAGAGGGACAGCTCTGTGACCTCCTGCCTCAGGCCCCAGCACCATGACGGTTTCATACACCCTCAAAGTGGCAGAGGCGCGCTTTGGTGGCTTCTCCAGCCTGCTCCTTCGCTGGAGGGGAAGCATCTACAAGCTCCTCTACAAGGAGTTCCTACTCTTCATCGCTCTCTATGCTATGCTCAGCATGGCCTACAGGTGAGGATGGGTCTCAGGGCTGGCCTATGGGGGTGGAGGCTGTCTGTCCACCTCCCTCCATCCCAGGCCTACACTTGACCATCCCAGGTTGCTGCTGACCCAGGAGCAGAGGCATGTATATGCACAGGTGGCCCGATACTGCAACCGCTCTGCAGATCTCATCCCTTTGTCCTTTGTACTGGGTGAGGCCCCATTAGTTTTCCCTGGCTGTGTTCCCTAACCTTTGGGTTGAGCTGACAGCTCTGAGTAGCACAGCTTAGAGTCAGCCTGAGCAGGTACAAGCTAGGTGCTGAGGGCTGGGTCCAGGGTTTCTCCAGAGCAAGGCCCTGCCTAACACCTGCTGAACCCTCACTCCACAAAGGCACAAGACACCTGTGGCCTCACAACTCCATTCTTGGTACTGGAAGGGAGCTGGAGAGAGGTGACAGCCCTTTCCCCACCCTCATGGGAAGCAGGTCTTGGAGTCTGGTCTTAAACTCCCACTTCCCCAATTCCTTGGAAGTTTGCATTTCTTCTTTCTCCGGGCCAGGCCTGGCCAGGCCCAGCCCGGTGGTGGGACCAGAGGAAGAGGCAGGGCTCACTGTCCTAGCCTGCCTGCCTCAGCCAGGCTGTGGTTCAGAGCCTGCTGGGAGCCCTCTGGCTTGGGAGGGAGGGCTCTGTGACTCCCAGCCCCTCCATGTTCCCTCTTTTCCCCACTACTCATGGTGGCCCATCAGGTTTCTACGTGACTCTGGTGGTGAACCGCTGGTGGTCCCAGTACACAAGCATTCCTCTGCCGGACCAGCTGATGTGCGTCATTTCAGCCAGTGTGCATGGCGTGGACCAGCGCGGCCGGCTGCTCCGCCGCACTCTTATACGTTATGCCAACCTGGCATCGGTTCTGGTGCTGCGCTCAGTGAGCACGCGCGTGCTCAAGCGCTTCCCCACTATGGAGCATGTGGTGGATGCAGGTGCGTGGTCTGGGGACCTCTGTGTGGGCCTGGCGCACCGGCTGGTTGCAGGTGTCAGGCTCGGGGATTCTCAGGTCAGGGCTTTCCCAAGAAGGCGAGATCTGATCTTCAGAAGGTGCTTCAGGATCCAGGTTTGGCCGAGTTGAAATCGCTGGGTACACAAGGGAGGGCAGCCACATAGTGGAACAGTAGCCTCCCCTGGCGGTCGAGAATGTTTCTTGCACCCACCCACTTCATCTCCACAGGTTTCATGTCCCAGGAAGAGAGGAAAAAGTTTGAGAGTCTGAAATCTGACTTCAACAAGTATTGGATCCCTTGCGTCTGGTTCACCAACCTGGCAGCCCAGGCCCGCAGGGATGGGCGAATCCATGATGACATTGCTTTCTGTCTCCTTCTGGAAGTGAGTTAGCCTAGGTCCAGGTCCCTTGGCCCTCCTCTAATTTTGGTACTTAACACTTAAATGTCTCCAACTAAGTACCACATGCTTTTGGAAGCACATACCTAGTAGCTCATTTAGCCTCATTCACAAATCAGGGAAGAGGTACTAAGTGGAAAAGCTCAAATCTCGCAGCTAGTTAGCATAAGTGGAATTCATTCTAAGACCTTTTAGCTTCAGGGCCTGTGGTTTCCAGGACTTTGAAAGATTGCTTTCCATCATAGGCACCCCAGCCTAGTAACACTAGAGAGTAGGTCCAGCCTCAGGCCTATTCAGGCCTGCTTTGTTCTGGGTTCCTCTATTCTCTTCCTAGTTTTTCTCCTTCTCCTCTGCTGACCTCCTCTTCCTGCTTTTCCACCAGGAGCTGAACAAATACCGTGCCAAGTGCAGCATGCTGTTTCACTATGACTGGATCAGCATCCCTCTCGTCTACACCCAAGTAACTGCCTTTCACCTCCCCAGTCCCAGTGCCTATTGTATGTTCTGTGCTGGGTGTGAGATACTGAAGAAAATTAAGAGATGGTCCTTGCCTGGGCCAATTCTGTTCAGTGAAGCTCTGAATAGCCAAGAGCTCATCTTCAAAGCCTCCTTCCAACTTACCAAGATGACCTTATCCTGCTGGTGCTGCTACCCCATTGCATGTTTAATTACTTATCAGACTCCTCCCAGATTCTCAGGGGCAGGGATGGCATTTCTTTTCTTTTTCTTTTTTTTTAATATATATATTCTTTTAGTTGTAGATGGACACAATATCTTTATTTATTTTTATGTGGTGCTGAGGATCGAACCCAGCACCTCACATGTGCGAGGCAGGGGCCACAGAGCCACAGCCACAGCCCAGGGATGGCATTTCTCTGTGTGCCACTGCACCATACTCGGCCTGGCTTTTCCTTTCTCCAGGTGGTGACCATAGCTGTATACTCCTTCTTTGCCCTCTCCCTGGTTGGTCGCCAGTTTGTGGAGCCAGAGGCAGGGGCTGCCAAAGAGCCTCTGGAGCCAGGCCAGAAGCCAGCACCAGCACTGGGAGACCTGGACATGTATGTGCCTCTTACCACACTGCTGCAGTTCTTCTTCTATGCTGGCTGGCTCAAGGTGGGCACTACAGATGGTCATACCAGTCTGTCATACCAGACCTGGGCCCTGGGTCTACTTCAATGTTGGGGGTAGAATGGGGGCTCTAACTCCAAAAAACACTATCTCTGCATCCTACAGGTGGCTGAACAAATAATCAACCCCTTTGGTGAAGATGATGATGATTTTGAGACCAACCAGCTCATAGACCGAAACTTGCAGGTGAGGTGGGAGTAGATCCAGGGGTCAGTTCTTTGACTTCCTCTCCTAGTCAGCTCTCAGCCTGGATGTGGAGAGGAGAGGAAGGTCCTTGTGACCTGCTGTCACCCTTCTTCTGGTCCAGGTGTCCCTGCTATCCGTGGATGACATGTACCAAAACCTGCCCCCTATGGAGAAGGACCCATACTGGGATGAGGAGCAGCCACAGCCACCCTATACTGTGGCCACAGCGGCAGAGACGCTGAGACCTTCTTTCCTGGGTTCCACCTTCAATCTTCGGTGAGTGGCAGCTGCTGGTCAAGGCTGGGCTTGCTTGACCTAGCAGGCTGGTGCCAGGTCCGTGGTCACCCTCTGGGGCACTAGTATATCCCAGCCCTCGACTCTGCCCCTGACCTAGTCTGGCCTCAAGTTTCACCCGGTTCACCTTCATGTCCACAGTATGAGCGATGACCCTGAACAGAGCCTGCAGGTGGAAGCATCCCCGGGGTCAGCCCGGCCAGTGCCCGCAGCACAAACGCCGCTGCTCAGTCGCTTCCTGGGAGCAGGAGCGCCCTCCCCAGCCATAAGTCTCCGGAACTTTGGCAGGGTGCGTGGCGCCCCGAGGACCCCGCATCTGCTGCGCGTCCGGACCGAGGAGGGAGCAGACCCAGAAGCCGCTGGCTGCATTGAAGAGGAGGCCATGGAGTCAGGGGAAGAGGCCCTGGGGCATTGAGACCTTTCTGCCTGTCCCGCCCCCACCTCCAGCCACTCTCACCTTCCATAGTGCAGGCTGCAG